CCTTGTTTTGGCTAAAGATACTGAATTTTTCCATTGCCTCTTTCCACAGATGTAGTCAATTTGATGTCTGTGTATTCCATCTGGCAAAGTCTACATGTATAGTCACTGTTTACCAAAACCAAACCGAACTCAATGCCATCGAGTCAGATCCAAATCATAGAGACCCCTTCTTGTGTTTCCGAGGCAGTACCACTACGGAAGTAGGTTGCCCAACCTTCCTTCTGAGGAGTGGCTGGTGTGTTTGAACCACCAGTCTTCTGGTTAGTAGTCAAATGCCTTAGTCACTGTTTACATAGTTGAAAAAAGGTATTTGCAATGAGTAAGTTGTTTGTTTTGCAAAATTCTGTCATGCTATCTCCAGTGTCACTTCTATCACTTAGGCCATATTTTCCACTTACTGATGCTTCTTCTTTGTTTCACATTCCAGTCATCAGTAATTATCAATACATTTTGATTGTTTGTTTGGTCTTCAATTTATTCCTCTTTGGCTTTAATAGATGGTGCATAATTTGAATAATAGTATTAATTGGTCTTCCTTGTATGCATGTGGATATTTTCCTATCACTGACAGCATAGATCTTGAAATGTTCTTATTGATGATGAACATGACATCATTACCTTTTAATTTGGCATTGTCGCCATAGTAGACCATATGATTGTCAGATTCAGAATAGCCAATACCAGTCCATTTCAGCTCAGTAATGCTTAGAATATTGATCTTTATGCATACCTTTTTGACAACTCTCAATTTTCCTAGATTCAGCCTTCATGCATCCGCATTCTGATTACTGATGGATGCCTGCACCTGTTTCTCCTCATTTTGAGTCATCCCACATCAGCAGATGAAGGTCCTGAAAGCTTCACTCCATTCATGTCATTAAGTTGCCCCTACTTTGAGGAGGCAGCTCTTCTCCAGTTGTATTTTGTCTGCCTTCCAACCTGAGGGACTCATCTTCTGATACTATATCAGATAATGTTTCACTGGTATTCATAATGTTTTCAGTGGCTAATTTTTTCTGAAGTGGACTATCTCTTCCTTCTTCCTAGTGTGTTTTAGTCCAGAAGCTCTGAGGAATTTGTCCACCCTGCTGGTTATTTGAAATACTGGTGGCATAGCTTCCAGCATCACAGCAACATGTAAGCCACCACAGTATGACAAACTGACATACAAGTGGTGGTCTTTATACTATACTATGAGGTAAATATAAAGAAAGTATATTCTTTCTTTAAAGAAAGTATTCTAGGTTGATACAGAAAATATCACTGGAGACATAAGAGATAACAATAATGAGAAACTCATTGGCATAGTGCCTAAGGCATTTGACTGTTAACCAGAAGGCTGGCGGTTCAAACCCACTAGCCACTCCTCAGAAGGAAGGTTGGGCAATCTACTTCCGTAGTGATATTGCCTTGGAAACCCAAGAAGGGGTTGCTATGAGTTGGATCTGACTCGACCGCAGTGAGTGTGACTTTTTTTGGTTTACTATACTTTCAGAGAAGAAAAAAAACATCTGATAGGATGATGAGGAAATATTTCATTAAGGTAAAATATGACTTGAAGGAAAGTTATAGATAGGAAATGGGAGAAGAGAGTTCATTTCCTTTTGCTCTGACAAATAAGTCTTCCATTGGAAGTCAACAAAAATTACCTTGTAGATTTTTGCCTCTACAGTTGCTCTTCCCTTAATTCTGCAAGCCTTCCAGTTACAGAAAGGAATGGCATATACATGGTGAGTAAATGTGAAAAAAGACACAAAGATGCATGTGTGTTAACCTGTGCATTCGGCAGGACACTGATAATATTAACTGAAATAGAAAAAAATTCAGAAGTAGAGACTGATTTCTAGGAGAAGATAAAGAAGTTTCTCATTTTTCCTCGGGTAAGCTGAAGATACTGGTACATAAATATTTAACAAACTGCTTAAGTCTTAATGCAACACACTCAGCAGAACAGTAAGTGATAAAGACAAATGTTGCTCTGGTTGTTATTCGTGCTGTCAAGTCAAATTTGATTCACGGTGACCCTATATGACCCTATATGACAAAGTAGAACGGCCAATAGGGTTCTGTGGTCTGTAATCTTTATAGGAGTAGATTGTCATCTATTTTCTCCTACACAGTGGCCATTTGTTTGAACTGTTGACCTTTTGGGTAGCATCTTAGTACTTAACCACTGCACTCAGTAATTTACATAAAAATTATTACTAAATCTTCCAGGGCTAAAAACAGCCTTGGAAAGATCTCACACCAGTGTCTAGCATTCAAGATCCCCTCTATATTTTTTTTATGCAATCTTATTTCTCATAACTTACTATTTAATATTGTTCCTGCACTCCTCTCTGGCTGGCCTCCCAACTGTTTCCTATATTGCCCTTTACAGGATGTTGCAGAACTATTCTCTAACTCCTTAGAAGGCCCTCCCCATTTCCAATTCAACTTCTCTCTTTCTCTAAGAGTTCTATCATATCAGTATATGACTTTTCCTCTTAAAGAATCTGAATAGCATGTGTAAAATTTTCATTATGCTATCTGCCAGTACACATTACAGCTGGTTATTTCATCTATAGAAGTCTTATCTACCAAACGTAACTTTAATTATTACTGCTATTGTTTTCGGAGAAGAGCTTCTCTTAAGTATTTCTTATGTATCTCTCTTATAATTTCGCTTATATCCTTTATATCCCTCAAGTGCAAGAATGAAGCAATACAAAAGTGGTAATTTAATAATTGCTAGAAGATTGGCCTTAATAACAGCCACCAAGATTCATAAGTTATTTTATTTTCTTACCTATGTAGAGACATTAACTTCATATGACTTGAAGAAAGTTATAGACAGGAAATGGGAGAAGAGAGTTCATTTCCTTTTGCTCTGATAAAATAAGTCTTCTATTGGGAGTCTAGTATGTTTTTATTGGGTACATATGACCTTAAAATGTCAGACCTCTTAAGTCATAATTGCTATTCAATATGATAGCTTGATTTAAGTCTATCAATTGCAACTATGTGCTTCTTTGGACAAGGAGCATGGAACCTGAACTGCTTTACTTCTAGTTACTTTGACTTATACATACAGTCACACATGAGCAATCTATGATGTTAGTGCCAGTAATTCATAATACTGACATTTTAAGAAAACCCAGAATACTTTTTTTTTGTCTAATTTCTCACTATGATTAAAATGGCCTATTTTAGTGCAATGAAGTCAAACACATAAAAACTCACCAGTGAGAATTTCTTTCCGTACTTTGAAAGTGTCCACAACAGGAGTGATGATCCCTTCAATGGTTCCAAACATACTGCCAAGGCCTAGGTTTACCAGCATGAGGAAGAACATCACTGACCAGAATGGAGATGCAGGGAAATGTGTCATCGCTTCCGTAAAGGCAATAAAAGCTAAGCCAGTCCCCTGAACAGCCTGTAAAACATACCATAATAGGAACATTAATAGACTAAAAAGCAATATGAAGTGATGACTCTATACATCACTCAAAGAGGAAAAGGACACTTTGCATCTCTAAATAATGACCAGAGGTTACTGGAAATACTATGCTGATTATGCTGATATCAGCCTTTTACCTGTTAGATCACTTTAGCTTTCTCGGAACCCAGATTATATTCAATCAAATAGACACAAACAATGAAATTCTGTATAGAATTGCTAAACAAAGTACACAGTTATATTGTGTTATATGCTAAATATTTCATGTGAACTCTGGAATATTAATAAATGATATATAGCACTTTTGCTTCAAATAATGAATAGTGATTACCATATATAGTGATTACCATACACACACACATATATATACACACATATATGTATATATAATCACATACACACACAAATAACTATCTGACCCATATATAAAGACAGAAAGTATGTAGTTTTACCTTAACTTTAAACTGGTATAATTAATTAACATAAAGAAAATATAGATTATGAAAAACAAGCTTGCTCTAATATGAAATCCATCTGTCAGTTTGACATACTGTGGTGGCTTGTGTGTTGATGTGATGCTGGAAGCTATTTCACAGGTATTTCCACTGCCAACAGGGTCATAAACCATGGACAGGTTTAGAAGACTTCCACACTAAGATAGATTAGAAAGGAGGACCTGGCAACCTACTTCTGAAAAACTAGCAGTGAAAACCTTAATAGCATCAGAATACTGATATAGGACCAGAAGATGAGTCCCTCACATTGGAAGACACTCAAAATAAATCTGTGAAAGAATGAAAGAAAATGAGAAGAAACAATTGTAAACATCCATTAATAATTGGAATATGGAATAAACAAAGTATGAATCTAGGAAAAAAGGAAACCACCAAAAATGAAATAGGATGCATAAAGATCAATATCCTAGGCATTAAAAAGCTGAAATGGATTGGTATTAGCCACTTTGATTTGGACAAACATATGGTCTACTGTGCTGGTGATGACAAATTGGAGAGGAACGGTGTCACATTCACTGTCAAAAGAATATTTCAAGATCTATCTTGAAGTATAACATTGACAATGACAGGATAATACCCATATGCCTACAAAAATGACCAGGTAAGATGACTATTATTCAAATATACATGCCAAAAACTAAAGCCAAAAATGAAGAATATGATGTTTATCAATTTCAACAGCCTGAAATTGATATTTGATTGCAGTCAAGATTCACTGATAATTAATGGTAATTAGAATGTGAAAGTTGGAAACAAAGAAGAAGGATCAATAGCTATAAAGTACGGCCTTGGTGACAGAAACAACACTGGTGATCACGATAGAATTGGAAGACCAATGACTTATTCATTGGAAATATATTTTATTAATAACATAAATGGGGATGCTACATGTGGACCTCACCAGATGGAATACAGGAATCAGAGTGACTATATCTATCAAAAGACACAATAGAACAGGCCAATATTATCTGTCAGAACAAAGTAGGGGTTTGACTGCAGAACAGACCATCATATACAAGTTCAAGTTAAAGCCAAAAGAAATTAAAACAAGTCCAGGAGAGTCAAAACCTCATGTATATCCCACCTGAATTTAGAAACCATCTCAAGAATAAATTTGACATATTGAACACTAGTGACAGAAGACTAGATGAGAAGACTAGATGAGGGATGATATCAAGGACACTATACATGAAGATAGCAAAAAGTCATTAAAAAGACAGGAAAGAAAGCAAAGATTAAAATAGATGTCAGAAGAGACTCTGAAAATTGCTTTTGAATGGAGAGTAGCTAAAGCAAGTGGAAGAAATGATGAAGTAAAAAACTGAACAGAAGACTTCAAAGGGCAGCTTAAGAAGACAAAATACAATATTATAATGAAATGTGCAAAGACCTAGAGTTAGAAAAATCAAAACAGAAGAATAAGCTCAACATTTCTCTAGCTGAGAAAACAAGAAAAATTCAAGCCTTGAGTTGCGATATTGAAGGATTCTGTGAACAAAATATTGAACAACACAGAAAACATCAAAAGAAGATGGAAGGAATAAAGAGTCACTGTAACAGAAAGAATCAGTCAGTGTTGAACCAAGTCAGATGGTAGCCTATGATCAGAACCAATGGTACTGAAGAAAGAAGGCCAAACTACACTGAAGGCACTGAGAAAAAAAAAAAAAAAAAACAACTCCAGGAACTGGTGGAATACCAGTTGAGAAGTTTCAACAAATAGATGCAATGTTGAAAGTACTCATTCCTCTATGCCAAGAAATTTGGAAGACAGATGTTGACTGGAAGAGATCCATATTTGTACCTTTTACAAAGGAAAGCAATGCAAAAGAATGGGGAAATTATCAAATAGCATCACTAATACCACACATTAGTAAAATTTTGCTGAAAACAATTTTAAAATGATTGTAGCAATACTTCGACTGGGAACTGCTAGAAATTCCAGCTGAATTCAGAAGAGTGTGGAAGGCTAAAGAGACATGGAACAAGGGATATCAATGGTGATACCATACAAGTTTGGGCTAAAAGGAGAGAATATCAGAAAGATATTTACTTGCATTTTAATGATTATGGAAAAGTATTTTCCTATGTGGATCATAACAAATTATGGATAAATTTGCAAAGAATGGAAATTCTGGAACACTTACGTGTGTTCATGCAGATCCTGTACATAGACAAAAAGGCAGTTGTTTGAACAGAATAAGGGGATACTGCATGGTTTAAAATCAGGACAGGTGTGCATCAGGATTATATAAGTCTTCAATCAGTATTCCAAGCAAATGATCAGAGAAGCTGCACTGTATGAAGAATGTGGCATCAGGACTGGAGGCAAACTCATTAACAACCTGCGATATACAGATGACACAATCCTCCTTGCAGAAAGCCAAGAGTACTTAAAGCACTTGTTGTCATTGTTAGGTGTGCTCGAGTCATCTCCGACTCATAATGACCCCATGCACAGCAGAACAAAACACTGCCCAATCCCGCGCCAGCTCCACGATCCCTGCTATACTTGAGCCCATCATCACAGCCACTGTGTCAATCCATCTCGTTGAAGGCCTCCCCCTCTTTCATCGACCATCCACCCTACCAAGCATGACATCCTTCTCCAAGGAAAGGTCCCTTTTGACAACATGACCAAAATAGGTGAGACGAAGTCTGGCCATTCTCGCTTCGAAGGAGCATTTCGGGTGTACTTCCTCCAGGACAGATCTGTTAGTACTTTGAGCAGTCCATGGTACTTTCAGCATTCTCCGCCAGCACCACAACTCAAAAGCATCAACTCTTTTTTGGTCTTCTTTATTCATTGTCCAGCTCTCACATGCATACAAGGCAATTGGAAATAACATGGCTTCTGTCAGGCACACCTTAGTCCTCAAGCACTTGAAACAGTTCCTTCACTGTTGACTTTCCCAATGCTACACATTGTCTAATGTCCTGACTGCCACTTCCATTGACATCGATGGTAGAACCAAGCAACGTGAATTCTTTGACAACCTCAATCTTTTCTCCATTTATTATGATGCTATTCATTGGTCCAGTTGTGAGGATTTTTGTTTTCTTTATATTGAGAC